GCGCGGAAAAACACTGTAGATAATATTGAAATTGAAATCGAAAGAGAATAATGAACGAAAATAAACATTTACTGGCACTCGCTGTTGCGATAATCAATAGTATTTCCGGTTCTGGCCGGAATTCTCTCCTACACTATGTACGTAATACATATGCATACATCTGCGAATTCAATTCGATTTTGGTATCTGCCCCAATATGCCCCTGTCTGTGCGAAAGCTCCGCACTTGCGGAAAATTATTTTATTGACAAATTTGCATGGCAATGTTGTCGAAATCTGACGAACTTTGTCTTTATTGAAACACTCAAATATATCGAATATAAACCTTAACCTACACTAACATCTGCATTATAATGAAAAAGTGCTTTAATAAAAGAAACATTTTTAATTGTCAAAAAACATTCATTAGTTACCCTGAGAAAACACGGTCACTGCTGAGCAAAAATAAAGCAACAAAGCGGACTTAAAACGACAAACAAAAACTCAATCTGTTGGCCACGCCACAAAAGTCAACTTGAAATAAATTTAATTTTTAATTTCAATCTCAGTCTACCCGCTCGTCAGTGCTACACAAAAGCAAGCGGTTGCGGTGGCGGGGAAAGTCCTTTCCCAGCTCATCCCGTGTGCCATCCCTTCGCTAACCGTCCGTTTTACGCGTATCCTTCCACTGCTGCGTAGACAACTTCCAGAGCCGCAGCTGCCACTTCGTGTCTGTGTGCAAGTGGGTGGTCCCTTGGCCTCTCTGGATCCTTTGACTGCTGCTTGTGCGTCGAATGTGCATGCGGGGGTGTGCACACATCGCGCACTAAGGTAAACCAAAGTACAAATGACTTAATCGCAAAAATTTCGGTACTGCGCCACTGCACTTCCTTACAGTTGTATGCATTTTATGAAATGTAAATATAAAAGATGGCAAGTAAGTGCGAATTTACACTGAAGGGTTATTTCTAATTCTATAAAGTATTTATATACTTAATCAGCATCAGTAGCCGAATTGATCTAGCCATGCCCTTCTGTCTGTCCATATAAACCAACGGATCTGAGACTGTAAGAACTACAGCCACCAAACTCTCACCAATCCAAAAAACCCGTATCATAGTCCAATTTGGCTTAATGTAAACAATTTTATAGAAAATTAGACCGAAAATGTTAGTAAAGTCGGTTAATACACATGGGAGCATGATAGAATTATACAAGGTAGTCCACTCGACTGCCGAAGTCGTTCGGGTTTTGGTCCATTAATGTCAGTGCATGGCCTGCTTGTCGAACTGAAAGGTTGTGTGTGGACGGCTTTTTTTTTTCAGAGCTTTAACCCTTAAGTGGCCAAGAAAAAAATTACATTTACATACGTAGATGAGGTTTCGCATGGAGGTCTGATGAAACCATCATCGACATTTAAAAACAAAATAAATCAACTCGAATTTATATTTATTATTTTATTATATGTATTATTATTTATTATTTATTTTAAGATACGCATATACTTTGGAATTAAGAGCTTAAACAAGAGAATGGCTGTTAAACAACAAAAACAAAGAATTATGTCAAATTCAAAACTTATAAATATAAAATTATAAACAATACCACTCTTGTCATAACTAAGGAAACTTTTAGTCCCATGCACCGTGTACGGGTTAATCGAAGCACTATGTTGCCATTTCACTCACACTAACTATTGAATGCTATTTCACTCGCACTTACATCAGGGGACTATGATTTTGCCGAGTGGACTACCTTGTATAATTCTATCATGCATGGGAGGTATCATACAATGAAATTTCTAGGTATGTTGACGTTGTGCAACATCTACATTTCGTTTGGAAGCATCCTTGGGTATTGCCCAACATGTTTCTAGCAACATGTACCTGTATTTTGGAGTAAGTTATTAGCAACATTTACTTTTATCTGGGAGTAAGCAACATGTTTTCTTATCAGCATATCTCTCCATTTACCCATAAGCTTTGGGTACCGTGTATCACATAGTGGGTGACACTCGACCTCGACTGTAGGTTATGTACTCCATGATCTAAAGAAAATGGAAAGGGTATTAAAATTTCGACTTTCTGTATTTTTATAGGAATGTACCGTATAATGTACTTTCTATTCCAAGGTGTACAAAATAACTCCGTTTCTGTGATATTATTATCTTATTATTATCTTATCTTATTATTATTTTGCAATATGTATTATCGATTTTCATTGTTTCTGTTCTGAGGGCGTTGCGACCTTCGTCCCGAATGGGGAGCAGCATTAATGGTTATCATCTAAACTCATATTTCCTGGCCCAGTTTAATTTGCGGTCTGCATGCGTAATATCTTTAAAAAAGCAACATGCGTGTGTTGACATTTTTGCTTACCAATGGTCAATATGCAAATAGGCTGGCAAATAAAATGGCGGCTGGGTAAATGTGTCAATTAGTAACGAAAGCCTAATTGGCCTTGTGTTGGTTTGTGAAGGCTTAAAAGCTTATTACACAGCAGAATGCATTTAATTTAACCTAAACAGTTATCAATTCGTATTTAGGATATATGGAGATATATTTTATAACTATAAATGTTTATTTTGAGAGGCAATTCCCTGAAAGTTTATACTCCTACATCTTCAGCAGGTTCTATTGTCTTACTTGTACTTGCACTACCTTTATACCTAAGACAGACTTTAAAGTTGTATATTGACAACTTAATATATACGTTAAATTCCTTCTGGTAAATGTTGAGTAGAATAAAAAATGCGATATCCGATAGCAACGCTCGGAAATCTTAAATCGCAAAGGAAGCCAATTTAAACAAGCTCGTCAGCGTGTTTGTTTCGTACACGAGTGTCTGCTCCCATTGCTGGCCATTTTGTTTGTGCCAAAAATAAAATAAAATGCAGAGCCAAGCAACACGTCAGCGTCAGCACATTTGGCCCAACTTTCGACTTCGGTGCAAATGTATCGCGATGTTGCCAGTAGTATATACCTGGCAGCTGGCATTGTCGGCCCCTATATTCCTTATATTTTTGCTTTTTAGCTACCATTTTGCTTTTTGGGGCGTTGCCGTGGTTGAGTTTTAATTAGCCTTGAGTGCGTGCTGGGCTGAGCCAAAAGCCGTACAAATTGTTATATAAACACATACACACGCCCAACAAACTGTTTTAAGGGCCTAAAACATTGTCGCCACCAAATGAAGTTGGCCAACATGAAACTACGCAGGTCACAGGGAAAATAGTTGCCCAAGGTGTAGTGCAGAAAAACCCAGCACTAGTGGAACACGGCACCGAGTGAAAAGTGTTGAAATGGCAGCGGAAATGAAATTAGGGGAAGTGGAGGAAGTTGCTTGGAGGACTTCAGAAGCCTTTGCGCTTTATACCCGCCCATGCAGACGGAGTCGCCATGGTAAAAGTTAAGGTTACAAGTCGTCAGAGAACTAAATTATATGGTTGAGAGGTTTACGGCTATAGATTTTTATTAGGTGGTATTTATATAATTTAAGTATTAAATATATTTTTACTTTATAGGTATTTTTTATGCTATTTTCTAATTTTTAATAAGCGCTGTCATACGTAGAAAGTGACTAAACGTCAGTTCGGAAAGTTTCCAACGCTTTCTGTGTGAAAACACGAAAATGGCCCCTATTATGCAAATATTGGGGTTTTCTTTTAATATGATATACATATTTCAATTGGGATGAAATTGTTTTTTTTGGCATTAATATTTAAAATGCGTATCGTAGGGCCAATAACCAAAAATTTTAAATTAAGCTTCGAATGTACGAATATTTTTACTTTTGTTTAAAATCCCTTGACTGAGAAATAGGCTTTCCTACAAATTAATACAAAATTATATGCTGGCACAAGAATGAAAGCAAAGTATTCACATGGGAGAAGAATTCTTCGTTTCTTAAATAAATTATGACATAGGACAAATGGGTTAAAAATACTTTTGTGTATAACTTTTGTATTTCATGTTCTTTAAAATGTAAATAATATTTAAAAAAAGCTTAAAGTAAGTGGTTTTAAATTAGAAAACCTTACATATTTCTACTTCCTCTGATTCTGGGACAGTGGTTTTACTCACAAGATGTTGACTTGATAGGTATCCAACTTGTATGCGCCCTTGAGAACTTTGCAACTGCGGTGTTTATGTCTTCAAGTTAACATATTTTACTTATAACCATTATGCAATCATACCTCTTTTTCTTACAGCGTTAGCAAATAAATTGTAATATTCGGTGTTATCAATATGCATTAATCTTAAGTCCGTTTACGCATAATATGTTGTTCACATGTTCCTTGCAGTAAATCCGTCTTTTAGGCTAAGTTTAGATGCAGCCGAAATCTACATGAGAATAATGTGCAATGGGCCAGTAACAACGAGGGCAAACACGAGTTTCGACCAGGAGGAAACCCAGATTGAAAGGCAGATGTAGGGTAGGGTAGGAAATGATAACCTGATTTAGTCGATGGATGTATGATAGCCAGCAACAGAGTGCAGAGCAGGTCACAACAGAGTATATTTAGCGAAAACAGTTCACTTGCGTAACCAGGGAGCTGGAAGAGTTAGCCAGGAGGCAAAAGAAATTAATAGAAATAATATTGAATGGATGTTTATATATAGATGAGTGTGCTTCGAATTTAGGCGCTTTTTGATAACCGAAACGGACATTATTAGCTAGGTAAACGACAAAATATGCAATGCAATTCAGAAACAACACGGCTTAAGCAGAACGTGCGTATATTTCAACAAAGTATTCCGTTTATATTGCCATACTACCACTAAGATACCAGCACAGCTCCAGCTAAAACTAGAAACATGTCGATGGATACACACAGACAATACGCCCAAATGTATGCAATTTGATTGTGGAGATGTAATATTTTTTAAATGTTTATAAGCAGAGATTGAAATATTTGTAAAACATATTTTAATAGACACCGAAAACAAAAGAGAACAAAAATCAAAGCAAAACTCTAGACAGCGATACAAATTTTTTGAAATATATTTTTTTATATACGAATAGGAAGAGTTGAACACTGCGACCATGCACGCAACATGTAGCTCTCAGATAACCCTAGCCTAAGTTAAACCTGTAACAGACCCTTCAGTTGGAAATTGAACAGTTTACTTTCGATGGTTTCACGAAGTTATTTTGAGCCGTTTTGTATGCGTACGCCGTTCGGTTGAAGCTTAAGCAAGTAATCCAAAGTACAATCATTTATGTCAAACAGGACACCACACACACCAGAAGCTGGCTGGACGATTCCGAGCTACAGACACAAGATACAAGGGGGCACTGTCACAGAGTAATTTTTACAGGGACAGCGTAGTAACAGAGATACCACAGGAGTTTTGCTAAGAGTTTTTTAATTCGTTTTACACCAGCTCTAAGATATTGCTAGTGGACTCGGAAAAGCCACACAACAAGAGGCGGTACAGCCAGTTCGGTCGGAACGATCCCTATATCACAGCATTCACTAGGCTCAGCAAGTCAGGTTCCAGCTAGCTTAGGTCCCAGCACACCCCGCACCCCGAATGTAACCCCTGCAGCTCCTAGGATTAGTTTCCAACTAGAGTAAAGCTCCCCGATCCCCGAGACCCAAATCGACCACCAAGATGTATGCAGCTGCTGGCGGCGCCTCGCTGGCCTCTCGCCAGGCGCGCCAACGCCAGCGCCAGCAGAAGAAGAACCAACAACTACAGGCGAAACTACATCCACCGAAGGCCGCCGGGCTCGGTCTCGTGTCCGGCGATCATGCCGCGGCCGAGGGCGCCTCCACGCCCACCCGCGGCCAGTCGCGCCAGTTCCACCAGCTGCCGACGAACTACCTGCGGGCGCCACAGCCGCATGGCCGCAAGCTGAGCGCCACCTACACGACGCAATCGAAGCTCCTACTGCCAATCGACGAGGGCGACACCCAGTCGGTGCTGCAGCTGCGCATGCACTCCCACTCGCACGCCCACGCCCATGCCCACTCGCACTCCCATGGACCTGCCCACGCCCACGCCCACGCGCAGGCGCAGCCATACCAGACGCCCTACCAACAGTTCGCCTCCTCGCACGGACGCGTCTCACCGAAGCTGGTACACCGGCACTCCGGCACCGGCAGCACTGCCGGCTTCCAGCCGGTCTTCGCGGCCGGCCAGCTGCACAAGTCCGCCACGGCGACCTTGCCGCTGCACATGCAAACGGAAGCGGATGCGGAAACGGAAGCAGGAGCGGGAGCGACGCCATCGGCGGTGGCCGGCGTTAAAACGACAGTGACCTCGTTGGAGACAGCCACGCCTACGTCTCCTCCGCTGGCCAGCACATCCGCTGCCGCGGCTGCCGCCCTGGCGGCCGAGGCCGAGGCGGAGGCAGAGTTAGCTGGCGCAGCCGCCATGTTTGTGCCCCACCATGATGCCATCATTGTAACGCCGGCCACGCCCATGGCCTCGCCTGGTCACGTGGCCAAGCTGCGGCGCCCGGGGCCGGAGGAGCTGCTCGAGGCGTCTGCGGAGCGCCAGCCCCTGACCGCCGGCGAGGCGGACGACGAGGAGGAGCCGATGCACCCGCCACCCGGACAGCTGGAGCGCAAGTGTAGTGTCTACCGAATGCGCAGGAGTGACGCCTTTGAGCAGGATACCGGCAGCGGCCTCAAGCGGCAGCTGCGGGAGCTGCAGTTCAGCGCCGGCGCCCAGCAGACGCAGTACGAGCCGCTGCTCGCCGACGAGCCTCAGCTGCTTTTCAAGGGACTGGGCGCCAACGGACGCAAGCTACAGATCTGCGCCTACTGCGAGGAGGGCATCTGCATGTGCGAGCATCTCGAGGTAATTCCGGGCTGAACCTGGCCCACTTCCGGAAGTTGACGGTGTTCCTAACGTCCGCTTCAGTCTCAGCTTGTTTACTTTATGTATTATATATGTCTTGTGCATGTTTAAGGATTGTATTTTAAGTGTATGCTTGTAGCTTGGTATCTATGATAATCTCTATATGTTTGGGAGTCTCTCAATGTTTCATGATTGTATAGTGATACATCGGTATTTTCAAGACCTATTCAAACATACTTACATAGGTCTTAAGATATAGGTTTCTATAAGTATATAAAAAGAATATTTGTAAGGCGATCAATATTAATTTTAGTAGTACATAAATCCTTACGGTCTCTTATAAGTTTGTTAAAGCAGTTCGAAAAGGTCTTTAAAAGTATTTCGAAATCCTATATATGGGTAAACCTCTACGTATGCTCAATATTTTCATATTTTTACTATCTATATTAAAATACCTTAGCATAAGAAATATTGCTACAGATTTATGATAGTCTAGATAGTCCCCTTGGAATTATTTCTTTACACATATTTCGCTAACATTAGTGACAAGCCAAGGTATTGGTTTTCCAACGTCTACAAATATGTTGTTAAGAGACATATTAAATATTCAATCTGACAAGGTATTTACATTATTTAAACCTTAAATTTTAAGGTATAAGCATTAAGGCCAAACTTTGAAACTCGACATTCATAAGTATCCCGACTCAAACGTATTTATATTATTGATTAGTACTACTGTTTCAACCTTCCTTTCTTCTTCCTTCCTTCTTATTTTTTAAGGCTATTAAGTCTCAAATTTGATCTCTGTTTCTAAAAATCTCACGGAATAAGCATTTAACAATCACCAATTTAAGCTTTATATTTGGGAACAAGGTTTTTTCATACATCTAAAATGTGTATCCAAAACTCAGGGGGGGCAGGCAGGGACATCTTGCTCTGTGTCAAGAGCTACCCATACACCAGTGTTCGAATGGCATCTCTAATAAGGACAAGTTGTGCTGTTGGCAGGAGTCAGCCGGCTCGATATGGTCGTGGCACTTTCCTTTCGACTAGCCCCGTTTCGAGGCGATGCCATAACGGCGCAGCGACAGGGAAATGCCAGAGAAGCAGTGCAGGCATAACGAAAATCCGAGAATCGGAAGCGCATAATGTGCCTTTGTATCGGCCTGATAATGCGCCGCCCGAAAAAGCTTGGCAGCCACAGGCCGCCCCCACCGACTGGCGCCGCTTGCCAAATGTTGTGTAAAAGGCTAATGGCAACACGGAATGTGTGTCATAAAAATGCAAGATGGCGGAGGGCGCGAGGCGCCTTTAAGCTGCCTCTTTAAGCCGCCGCAGACACTCGTAATTCGGCTCACGATCCACTTAATGAGCCCTGGCTGAGGGGCGGCAAATTAAAAAACTTAGCACTGCGCTGTTATTTGGCTAGCATAAGCAGCGAATCAACTATGGCGTTATATAAGTCTTTATGCGAAATAAAACACAAAACTTGCACAAAATTAAACAGAACGTGGCCAAAGCAAAATCTCTCTCTAAGACGGAGCTCGGTCCACAATGATGGTTTCAACGAAGCGAGAACGCTGCTCTGGTCGACACTACGATTCTCATTAGGTAACCAAAGTTTTCTTCACTAAAAGACAATTAACTATGTTATAATGACAAATTAGTTTGTGACTTGAACTATTAAATATTTTAGAGCAAGTTCCGATTAATAACTTGAAAGGAGTTTCGCTTTAGTGATTAACTCCGAGTGATCTGGTAGCATTATTGCATTAAGCTACAATTTTATCAGGTACTTTTTTTAATTCTTCACAATAAATGCAGGACAATTGTAGCGTTGCCGGTCCAGTCGCACAATAGTACCTCTGAATACCCCGTGTTCTCGGACAGAATTGTTGGAAAAAAGTGCTCAAAACGGAGAAAGCAAACAGCAAACGCGAATGGCGGCGTCTAAAATGTATTATATTCTCAGGAACCCACGCCCGCGTCATTCCCAGTCCGCTTTTCCTGCCACTCGAGTCGCTAAGAGAGACATGGATTTCTATGTGTATTCGTTTCCGTGCCTATGTATGCAGCCCCGAACGACTCGTGCACAAAAACAAGAGCTAGTAAATTAGCTGGAAAATAAAGAAAAAGTATGCGGCAAAATGGCGGACGCCAGAAATGCGAAAAATATCATCATCGCCCAACGCCCACCGCTCACGCCACCCTCAAAAGTCGCAAAATGAGAGAGCAAAAAATAGTAATAAAGGTGGAATTAAACGATGAACTGGCCGTCGGTAGAGGGATCTGTCGGAAAGGGAAACTTATGAATAAGCAGAATGGCGACATTGAGATAAATAACTGCATTAGGGCTGCACATTTCAGAGTGCAGAAGTCTAGAGTTGATATGGTTGATATGGATTCAAGTAAAATAATAGCTATTGTGGAATTTTGCTTTACACAGAGATTGGTTATATTCATTTTAAAATGGAGTATTCTTAGGTTTGCCCCAAGGTTATGCCTCAAATATATTGAGAAATCCTAAGTTATAGCAAACACATTCAACGAAATCCTCCACCAAGGCCAGACAATTAGATCCAAAGCGAATCAGCTTTCTGCTCCAATCAGGCATCGGCGCCTTTCGATTGCGATTTAGATTGATGAATGCAATAGCTTACGCCCAAATGAACAGAATGCCTTGATTTACAGCCTCTCGCTGGCAGGAGACGTCGTAATTTAATTTCCAATTACACAAGTTGTCTGCTGCCAAAAAGTGCGAGAGGACGGCGATTGGCGATTGTTGCTGCCTCCGAGTGCAGCCTCAATAATTACTCAAACTGTCGCCCGGATCCGGCCTCCCCGAGGCGGGACATCTCTGTGGCCCACTTTTCCCAGTTCTCGCCGTGGCGGTGGCTCGGTAATTGTTTGTCAGGCACGTCGGTCCTGAGTTGTTCTGGTAATTGCAAGAGACGTATTGCACGAGACTACCTCCATTGCCCAGAGCCATGCCCCGCCGCATATAAAGTGGTAATCATCGCTTTGCCCGAAAAAGGACATGACCAGACCAACGACAGCTCCTGGTTTATTGCATACTCTGGCGCGGCTTCATTGAATTATTGTTGCATAATTCATTCGGTCGAAGAGTAACTCTTCTCGTTTATTACAAAGCCACATTTAAATTCATTTTCGATTTGGCTCGTTCTCTTCCTCCCTTGGCTTATTCCCACCAAGCCAATATTTATCTTCGATATTTGGCCAGCAACTGTGTCTGTGTGTGTGAGCAGGATTGTTGACGCTGCTGCCATCGCATCGACAATAAAAATCATTTAAAAAGACACAAATTATTCTCTGTCCTGGGTATGTTCCGAGATGGCTCTGACAGTTTTATGGACGCGCAGTCCCAGAGATGCACTTTAGACCACAAAGGAGAAAGCGGAATCCGTTTTCAGAGGGATAAATGCCTTGATTAAAGTTATGCCTGTTTATTGCAAACAGTTGGGCACCAACTAAAAAATGTAGCACAAATTGCTCACCGATTAAGCCTTCTAACGCGTTGAAATACCCCAATAAGTTCCGCTAAATTACCGCTGGTTAGTGGTTAGCCTGCGAAATTCATCGGGGAAGCCGCCACTGAACAACTATGAACAAACGACGCGCACACCGTCGCCACGACGGCTGTCAACAATCAAATAACACGACTCTCAACGAGGACAGTTGCCATTTCTCACGGCATATGCCATTTGCCATATGCAAATTCTCCGTCGAGGGGAGCCGCCACTCGCCTTTAATTACCTGTAGACAAGGCGCCCGCCGAGAGACCCTTGACAGGTGAACAAGTCAGCGGGCGTTGTGCCAAAAATTGGCCAGCGGGGAGGAGATCGCAGCGGGGCCTCTGCAATTCACATTAATTAACCCGAGATATATGCACTCTCCAGTGCCACCTGAGCAACAGTCGTGGATGGTATTAGCCACGATATTGATTCGCCAGCGAGTGCCACCTACCAGAAATCTCAACAGCGTGTCGCTACGTTTAAATGTGAAGGTTGAAACCCCCATACGTGTAGTATAAGGTACCGGCAGTCATAAAAGGTTAAAACTTGCCTGCACTGCGCCTTTCTTAATCAGATATTTCTAGTAAAAAGAGAGAACTGATATTTTGCAGTAAACTTAAAGCTAATTATTCAGTTTGATTCTCATTCTGCCATGATAGACTCTCAACGATTTATAGTTAACTTTGGATTTTATCGACCATCTATTATTGGACCGCTGATGGAATTGAAGTGCCCTTGGGATAAATCCTTTAAATATCCGCTTAATGGTTACTGCGAGCTGCTGAGAGCTGCATAAATTTCCATATAATGCACTCGACACAATTGGCCGTAAAATGCATGGTGCCCAGCAGACAATTTCTCACAAAAGAATGGGGCAATTCAGTGTTAATGAAATTTGCAGCAAACCGTCATATATTATTTCCACTCATCCGGACCCTTTGCCCCTTCCTTACATTTCTTCTTTTTATTTCTGTATGTATGTATGTCTCTTTTGCGAAATCGTGGCGCACAAATTAATTTTCATACTATAGTTTTATGCGCTTATGTTGTCAGCATGACATTGTTGCTGCCGCTGCTGGGGAATAGCTGCCAAATAGCAACATGTGTAGCTGCACAACGCACACAGTCCTCCGAGTCGCAGTCGGCGAGGATGAGAATGAGGATGCGGATGCAGTGTGTCGGTGTGCGTGCGTCTGTGTTTAATTGCGAAAATGTAGCAATCTTTTAGGCGTTACATCCAGTCAGCGACAGAGTCAGACAGCGAGCTTTTGTTATGTCAGCCACTGCCGCTGCGTGTGAGCCATGTTTTTATACTCTACAGCATCGAGCGTCATACGTCGTGAGCCCTTACAGATACGATACTATAAATAGCATTCCTCAATCCGAACGATTTTCGGTATAAAATGTGTCTAGAAATATTCTTTAATTTCGTTTCAATGCCAGAGCTAGCAGAAGTCTGACGTTTTC